CTCTCTCTCTCTCTCTCTCTCTCTATCTCTCACACTTATACACGCACAGAGAGACACTATGCAAGACTATTATTACCCTTTTGGCGACAGGCTTTAATAATATTAACGCATTGTCCATTCATCCTTGGTCACTTTCTAATATGCTGGAGTTGCATCACATTTGTTCATGATGCCATTTGAGTCAGTGAGACTGTAACCTGCAGCGACACCCCAGTCTCTTTTCGTCCCCTCCAACACCGCAGGGTCACTGGGTGGCAGCGCGAGACCAGGTCACCACCTCCTCCACAATACACACCTTGCCAAGTATAGCTGTCTGCTATCAGTGCCAGCAAGTGGGGACAGAGAGCACACATGGGGTGGGGGTGTGTGCTGGAAAATCACATCCCACATTCCTGAAACCTCTGCCTGTGAAATGTATGGAGACTGAGTTTCTAAGCAGTGGGTCACAAAAACATATATAAATGAAAAAAAAATAGGATGGAAAAGTAATTGTTTTCTTTGTCAAGACAGATTGAATGCTTTGTTAGTGCACTTAAACTGTTCTGCAAAATTAAAGAGTTGAATGGTGCTTGAGTAAAATTGTTTCCTAGATGAAAAATGTGTGTAATATCTATTTAGTGTCCCCATGAGTATTTTTTTTCTTTTTTCAGATATTCACATGTATTGAATGAACTGTGTGTTTTTGTTGTTTTCCTATGGCTACACTAAAATATCTTTGTAATGTCCCCAAATGTGTTTCTTGTTGTGCTGTGGTGTCTGAGCAACATCTTTCTAAATTTCACAGGATTAACAAGTCTTTGTAGTTAGGATGCGCTACATGCGCAACCAACTCCCTGTTTAATTAAGATCTAAGAGCTGCAATTATGCCCTTGAGTACCCCCCCCCCCCCCCCGGAGATTAGGGAAATAAAAGCACTCACACTGTGAAGTGATACACGAAGCATTTCCAACCAGTCGGCCTCTCCAGAAAGTTGTACACGCGTCCTTGGATGTAGGCGCGTGTGAGAGCCGGACGCGCACCGGTGCTGTACACCGACATCCTYCCAGACATCCGGGGATGAGATATGCGAGGGTGCAGGTGAAAAGAGTTGCCATCCGCGGGAGCTCTGCAGTCCTGTTGCATTGTTGTGTCTCTTTGAGGAAAGGTGCCAACAGGTGTTCCTGCCTCACGCGCGCTGAATGTGGTTTCAGACAGCTCTAAATCCGGTGGTCTCTTCCCTCGTGGCACAGCTGAATGCTTCCTCGTGTTCCCCTGACCGGGGGCGGAGGAGACAGACATTGGAAGTTTCCGCTCTTCTTCTAAACTTTCCTCACCTTTAATTTATTTTTTCTTGGTCACCGACTTAGAGTGACAAACGTTGCTCCATATGTGCTCACCTTCTGCGCCAGGACGCATAAAAACTACTATTACCTTTCTTATTAATGCTCTAAATCACCAGGATTATTTCTCTCTCCCTCTCTGCTTTGTCACTTGTTCTCCAGCCTAATCTTCCGGCTCTCTGAGTTGCTCAAAGTTGCAGAYAGAACCACCCTTACTTCTCTCACAGCTTTTATCAGCCTGGGGACTGTCGCCATGCAGGCGCTGCGCTCTCAACTCGGACATTAGCATAAGCTACTGTTTTATAGTAGAGCAGCAACATAAATAAATAAAAAATAAATAAAAATGTTGAGGATCTTTATTGTCACCAAGAGATGACAAGCCATTTATTTTTACTGATACATTTCAAAATTGTTGTTTATCTGTAGCTTTGCTGTTCTTTTATTTTGGCAAGTGCTGATGACAAACTTGAATTAGGATAGCTCTAAAAGTTTATCAGTTTTAGATCTATCATCAAGGATTCCTTATCAAAGTTTATTTAAACCCATCCAGTGGTTCATAAGGTATTCTGCTAACAAAGATTTAAACATATTCTAGATAATCATTTAAAATGTGTTGGGGATTACTTACCACAAGCTTTAGCACAGTATATGTATCTTTGGTTCCCTACAGCCACTTGTGTAGCCACTTGTGTGTTTGCTATAGGTTAAATAGGGCAGCCATTTTGAATGGTATTAATGCAAATTTTTCACCAAAAATACCTGACATTGATTCCTATAAATTTGCAATTATATGTATTTGTAGGAATGCATGGAGGGTTTTACCCCAAGTCCACCACTCTTAGACTTTACACTAAGAGAGGGATGCAGAGGACTAGTATCTGTTTGAGCCCTGGAGTATACACTCTAAAAATGAAATGTTGGATTTACTTAACCATGTTATGTTACCTKGTTCCACTTAACTGAGTTGAGTAAATTCAAAGCAACATACTCATGTTCTTTGGCTAAAAAACTGGAATATTGCTTTGAATTTACTCAACTCGGTTAAGTGGAACCAGGTAACATAACATGGTTAAGTAAATCCAACATTTCATTTTTACAGTGTATCAAGAGGAATGCCCACAATTATCAACTGATGAGAGAATGTTGCAGGCGGCAGCAGAAAATCAACAAGGAAGAGACACAACCAATTGAGCCATCATGGAAGGTACCACCAACAGATTAGGGATGAGCCAATCAACAAATCCTGACTAAAGAAGGCTGGACTGAAGGACAGCACAGAGGCAATGATCATGGCAGCAGAAGAACAGGCCCACTGCACAAGATCAATAGAGGCTGGGGTCTACCACAGAAGAAAAGACCCAAGATGCAGGCTGTGCAAAGATGCCCGCAAAGCATAAATGAAACATTATAGCCCATTGGCTTGGAACACTAGGGTGATGGAGAATGGAAGGGCTAAGATACAGAGGGACTTCCAGATCCAGACTGACAAGCAAGTGATGACTAGCCACTGTGGTGGTGCTGTGACCCCCAAACTGGAAAAAAATAGCTCCAATAAATCCCATGCCTCTGGTAGAGGACCTGAGTTTGAAGTGAAGTGAAACTGCCTAAGTGGAAGAGTAGGGGAAGCTACAATATATGCACAATCTTTTTTTAATATTTAGTGCTAAGATGTGACTCTTGTGTAAAACTTTTGTCATGGTTGGGAGGGTCCAGTAAACCCAGTTCTTCTCCACTTACCTGTCAGTGGCAGGTGTGGAGCTGCTGAAGCTACAAGAAGAGGGAACTTAATTACTTAACCATACACATCAACCCCTTCGGGCCCATTAGCTGTGTCCTGGCCCTCAAAAATCCGTAATTTTCCCCCAAAAAAATCAGTATTACTCACACAGGTGGGTGGTTGAAAGTGGACATTCAGTCGCAGTGACAGGCAGAATGCGGGGTGGAGATAACAGCTCATGCAGCACAGAGGAGCATGTAAAGGAGGACAGGGAGAGGTGGAGAACTTATTTCTAGCGGCAGAGTGGGTTGGGAGATAGTTGTTTAACTTTTTTATTGTTCGTCTTTTACGTCCTACAGACACTGAGATGTAAAATAAATTTGAAGGTGAGTTTTTGAAAAAATCCCTGAGATTTGAAAAAAAAATCTGAGATTGCCCGAATGAATTGGAGTGAAACTTTGCTTCTAAATATCTGATTCCAGACTTTTATGTAATTTTGTATATGTCAGTGACAGTGGTGTTAGTCTGATTACAAGGAGCTCAATTTGTCAAGGTTACTCTGTGAATGTCTTTCACTGTGACCTTGGCTAAGGTAGTCCAACTGAGAGGAAGCATGTCCTCCCCACCTCCCGCAGCACATTTTAATAGGAGTCGAGTGGCATCSATGTGATGACAGGATCTGTTGCCAGGTAAGTATTAAACATAACTCTCACAGGCTCATGCTGCAGGAACCTGCTCACAACATTTTGTCTTTTATACAGAAAAGCCATTTCTCTTGAAAGGCATCAGTTCTGTCATGTCCAATTGCATGAAATATGTTAAAATGATTAAGAGTGGCAACAAGAGAAAGAGAAAAAAAACATTCATATGGTAGATGATATTGATTATTGTAACTAAAATTTTAGCTTTATCTATCTAAATCAGACTGAGCTACAGTCATTGATTTGTTTGCTAAAGTCAACAATCTATGGTAGCCATCTTTAAATCTGTTCACTTCCAGCATCATTCTGTCATGGATATCTATCCAATATGTACTTTGTAAAAAACATAATCTGAAAAATAAATCTACTGCAGAACCAAATGGCTTGAACTTGTCAAGTCCACTTGGACCCCGAGGCGCTTTACACTTCAGGCATTCACCCATTCACACACACACATTCACAAACTGATGGTGRCWAGCCACAGCCACAGCTGCCCTGGGCCTCACTGACAGAGGTGGGGCTGCCATGCACCAGCACCACCGGACCCTCTGATCACCACCAGTAGGCAAGCAGATGAAGTGTCTTGAGGACATAACGACTGAGACAGCTGGAACAGGGGATCGAACCAGGACGACTCCCCTAACCACTGCACCACAGCCGCCCCGTACATAGTTGTGCAGCTTCTGGTTAATGTGGACATGTCTCCTCCCCAAAGGCTCTTAATAAAAAAATCATCATTTTATAATGACACATTTACTTTGAAAACAGTGAAAAGCTCAACTTTAACTCTTTCTATTAAGATTTTTGATCTTCTGATATCAAAACACAAYCATACGTACAGTATACTTAATGGCTGTGAGTTTTATTACAAACCTAGTGATTCATGAGATGTTCTTTTCTAACAGGCAGACAGTGTTGATTATACCAGTTATTTTCAAAGTTGAAAAAATGTTGTGTCATATAGTGCTCAGAGTAAGTTTTGGGGGAAAAAAACAGTTTTGCTACCAACACACCAGATATCTCAATATCAGTGAAACTGGCTGGCTTGTAGCTTTATTTTTGTGTTTCCTAAGGTCAGTTGGCTATGGAAGCTACAGTATCTTGATTTGAGTTGACTCCAAATGGTATTCAATTGCAACTATCCAATGATTTTTGAGAGTTACATTGACATTTATTTAGTGGTTCAAGACATACTGTATGCTATTTTGCATGAACGCACATACAGAAATGAGCCAAAGCATTGTCTTTTTGTTTTTAGCAATACATTATTTTATTCCGTTATAATAAACTTAGACCTTTTAGGTTTTTCAATAAGCAGTTTTGTTTTATTTAACCACAAATCTTTCGGACAACAGTATTTAATTTTTCAGCCTAAGCAAATGCTTTTCAGCTTTGGAAATTTTTATTGTTGTTTATGAAGTTATTTATATTTTTTCTGTTTTCTACAAGTGGGTATTGTAGAAAAGGAGTYGAGTGGCATCCATGTGATGACAGGATTCATTTCATTGCATGCTAGCTTGCCCACTTTGAAGCTATCCTCAGATCTTATGAACAATCCCTTATGTTGACTCAACACAGTAGGATATTGGAATTTACTGTCAGTTATTGCAGAAAAGCTGAAGAAATGTAGATGCTTGCCTCTCTCTACAAGGACACAGAAAGGGGGTAATATTTTATTAACTGTGTGATTCAGGTGAAATTATGGGGATTGTTTATTTTTTTCCCAGTCGAGACAGCAAAAGCTCTCAATGTTGACAAGGAGAAACAAACACTAACATTCTCTTGTAATTAAGTGTTGATCTAAAAAATAAAGTAAAATAAAATGCAAAGACATTAGGGAATCTACATAGTATCATTTCAAAGCTGAAAACCAGTGAACGTTCGGTGTCCAAATAGTTCACTTTCCTTGCCATTAATTATTTTAACTCTGCAGAAACAATTGAAGTACACAAGATTGCATCAGAGTACCATACTGCATGAGAGACTTACTAAACCATCTCTGTCCAAGTGTTCAGCCCAGTCAGTAGGAATTAGCCATGGGATCTCAGACTTTATTGTCCTCCATATTTATGAGTAATATAAACACATTAAGGGAATGGGATCCATTCCTCTATGGTCATATAAACAAATTAGCAGTGACTAAGCCTATTCATGTAAAGACATTACTAATCAAGCCAAGGCATATAATGTGCAAAGATGGGTTTTTACTGTAGGTCATGTATTTTTGGGATACAACCCAATTAATAATGATGAAGTGTCTCCAGCATGTGTATCACTGAGTTGACACTGTTCTCACATTCACTGGGCCTAATTCAGAAGCTGTATTCTTTGAAGTCTGTGTTTTCAGACTAAAAGCGACAATACTGCCATCTCCCAAAAGCTTCTCTAAATGCCCCTAGGTTTCAGTTCTCGCTTTTGTTGGAATTTAAAGGCCACAGTCATTGTATCTTTTGCAACACTCAGGATGCTTCAGGCTAAAACACACAAACTAAACATAAAAAAGTCAACTTTTTAAATTTCAATATGAGCTCACTGAAATAATATATTTTCTCAGCATTGTTTTTGCCTTGGCAACCATCCATCTATCCATCTTCTACTGCTTCTCCAGGGTCACTCTGCAGGGGTAACATGGCCAGGAGAAAAAAACCCAGATATCCATGTTCCCAGCTACACCCTGCAGTTCCTCATTAAGAATTGCAAAGTAGTCCTGAGCCATGGAGTGTATATAATCCCCACAGCAATTTCTGGG